TGTTGGGCCCCCTGGTGCGCGCCCCCCCTGCGCCGCCTAGGCCGCAGCTACATTTTCATCATTTTCGTGAGGAAGCCTCAGAAAAGAGGGTGTGTACAGGATCCGGTTGTTTTGTTGTAATCCGCTTTCCCTTGCAAAAAACAATAGAAAATGACATTTCTTGTTCTAATATAATCAAATTTCAAGAATCCCTTGCAAAAAATAAGGTAAAGTGGACATTCGCGCGCGCAAGACGAAATCCTTCCAAAACCTTAGTGTTCGCAGCGATTTTAACATAAAACATCAAAAAACCAATGGTTTTTCAACAAACAATTGTCAAAATCTCATCCCGCGCGCTCTTGCGGATTCGTAGGAAACCCAACACTTTTTAAACATTTCTGTCAAACGGGCTTTTGCGAGCAACTTTTTCGAACTTCTGCAACAACGGTTGCGCACCTGCCAGGGCCATCATCCCTGTCAAATAATACCATGCGGGACACATTCGTTTTTTCTTCGCGCGCGCACGCCGTCGTCGTCGGCCGCGGGGCCCTGAATAGTAGCCACGGTCGTCCGCATGCCACGAAGTGAAGTGTCCGAACGTCATAGGGCGGGAAGCTGGGTGTGGGTGGTGGCGAAGAGTCGTTTGGAAATTTGGTAGAGCTTGAACCGGCCCCCCCACAAAGTGGGGGTATTGCCCGCCTCCTATGAAAACCCTGGCACTGGTGAGAACGGAGTGTCCCCACGTGCTAGTAATTGTTGTTGTTGTTGTTGTTGAACATTATTAATTCTAAAGAATAATTATTGTTGGGCCCCCTGGTGCACGCCCCCCCTGCGCCGCCTAGGCCGCAGCTACATTTTCATCATTTTCGTGAGGAAGCCTCAGGTAAACGATGTGATCAAGATCCGGTTGTTTTGTTGTAATCCGTTTTCCCTTGCAAAAAACACTATAAAATGACATTTCTTGTTCTAATATAATCAAATTTCAAGAATCCCTTGCAAAAAATAAGGTAAAGTGGACATTCGCGCGCGCAAGACGAAATCCTTCCAAAAGCTTAGTGTTCGGAGCGATTTTAACATAAAAACATCAAAAAACCAATGGTTTTTCAACAAAAAATGTCAAAATCTCATCCCGCGCGCTCTTGCGGATTCGTAGGAAAACCAACACTTTTTAAACATTTCTGTCAAACGGGCTTTTGCGAGCAACTTTTTCGAACTTCTGCGACAACGGTTGCGCACCTGCCAGGGCCATCATCCCTGTCAAATAATACCATGCGGGACACATTCGTTTTTTCTTCGCGCGCGCACGCCGAAATCTCCAAAAACCATTGGGCTTCTTAAGAATTTTAGCACCGCGCATCATAAAATCACACGAATCGCACGTACGAGCGTAGGCTTAACAACTTCTGTGGGTGTGTACTCCACGCCAGTGTAGTAGCCACGGTCGTCCGCAGGCCACGAAGTGAAGTGTCCGAACGTCATAGGGCGGGAAGCTGGGTGTGGGTGGTGGCGAAGAGTCGTGTGGATATTTGGTAGAGCTTGCACTGCCCCCCCACAAAGTGGGGGTATTGGCTGGCGTCGCATGAAAACCCTGGCACTGGTGAGAACACTGAGCGTTCGGGTAAAGTGATTGTTGTTGTTGTTGTTGTTGTTGTTGAATATTATTACTTCTAAAGAATAATTATTGTTGGGCCCCCTGGTGCACGCCCCCCTCGCCGCGCCTAGGCCGCAGCCGCATTTTCATCATTTTCGTGAGGAAGTCTCAGGCAAAACGGGGGAGTCCGGATCCGGTTGTTTTGTTGACGCCCGCTTTCCCTGTCAAAAAACAATATAAAATGGCATGTCTTGTTCTAACATAACCAAACTTCGAGAATCCTTTGCAAAAAATGACACGAAGTGCACACTCGCGCGCGCAAGATGAAATCCTTCCAAAACCTTAGTTTTCATAGCGATTTTAACATAAAAACATCAAATTTCAAAAAAAAATGTCAAACTTTCATCCCGCGCGCTCTTGCGGATTCGTAGGAAACCCAACACTTTTTAATCATTTCTGTCAAACGGGCTTTTGCGAGCAACTTTTTCGAACTTCTGCAACAACGGTTGCGCACCTGCCAGGGCCATCATCCCTGTCAAATAATACCATGCGGGACACATTCGTTTTTTCTTCGCGCGCGCACGCCGTCGTCGTCGGCCGCGGGGCCCTGAATAGTAGCCACGGTCGTCCGCATGCCACGAAGTGAAGTGTCCGAACGTCATAGGGCGGGAAGCTGGGTGTGGGTGGTGGCGAAGAGTCGTTTGGAAATTTGGTAGAGCTTGAACCGGCCCCCCCACAAAGTGGGGGTATTGCCCGCCTCCTATGAAAACCCTGGCACTGGTGAGAACGGAGTGTCCCCACGTGCTAGTAATTGTTGTTGTTGTTGTTGTTGTTGTTGTTGTTGTTGTTGTTGTTGTTGTTGTTGTTGTTGTTGTTGTTGTTGTTGTTGTTGTTGTTTGCTGCTGCTGCTGCTGGTGCTGCTGCTGCTGCTGCTGCTGCTGTTGTGTGGTGCTGATGATGATAAGGATCATCTGGAAATCGCGGGAACCTTCACGGAGGCTTGTTGGAGGCGGCTTCGAGGCCTCTTGTGGGCTGTCTGGCGGTTTGTTGGATGCTTCTTGGGAGGCTGTTGGGGCTCCATGGAGGCCCCTGGGGTCTCAAAGGGGCTTCTTCGGGCGGCACGCTCGAATTGCCGGGTCGCGTTCCCCTTCTTAGGCCCCACATGGGACCGTCATGGGGCCTTTCTTGGGCTGCTTTGGGCACCTTTGGGGCCGTTCTTGGGCCTGCTTGGGCCGTGTAGGGACCTTCTTGGGGGCCCATTGGGCCGTCTGGGGGCAGTCTTGGGGGCCCCTGGGGCCTATTTGGAGACTCGGAAGCTAGAGAAGGCGATCACGTGAAACACCACGAATAAGCTATGGAAGTCACTGATTGTTGTGTTTTTGGGCCCTCTTGGGGATCCTCTCGGAGCGCTCTACGGGCTTCTTTGGAGCCTCGTAGGCTGTCTTGGATCGCTCTTCGGCCATCTTGGCGGCTGTGGTGGCCTCCCAGGTCCGTCTTGGAAGCCATCTTGGGCATGTTGGACGCCCTGGAAAACGCCGGGGACGTGTCTGGGCGCCGAGAGAGCTTCGGGAGAGGGGGGGCGGTGCACGCAGCGAGGCGCTTCCCGAAGAGGTGGGGGCCTTTTTTTTTCAGAAAACGGCAGAAACCCTGCCAGACAGCAGTTGCCATTCTGCCGCGCCTCGTCGTGCCAGGGGGCACGGTGGCGAATTTTTGTTGGCTTCCCCCGAGGGCCTCTGGGGAGGAACTCCGGGGCCTCGCGGGAGCTCCTCTGGGGGGCCCCCCTGGGATCCGTTGAGCAGCGGTGCGAGTAGCTTTTGTTTGGGCTTCCGCAGAGGAGCGGCGGCCGTGGCCGAGAGAGGAGGTGCACGGGGGGGGAGGGCAGGGGGCAGGCCGGGGGGCAGAGGCCAGCCCGGGTCGGCCTTCCTCTCCGCGTCGGCCCTCTTGGACTCCGCCTCCTCCGCCTCCTCCGCCTCCTCCTCCTCCTCCTCCGCCTCCTCCTCCTCCTCTGCCTCCTCCGCCTCCCCCTCCTCCTCCTCCTCCTCTTCCTCCGCCTGCTCCTCCGCCTCCTCCGCGGCCTTCTCTTCCTTCCTCCTCCTCCTCCTCCTCCTCCTCCCCCTCCTCTTCCTCCTTGTCCTACTCCTCTTCATCCTCCTCCGCCTCCGCTTCTGCCTCCTCCTCCACCTCCTCCGCCTGCTCCTCGGCCTCCGGTTCCTCCTCGACCTCCTCCGCCTCCGCCTCCTCCTCCGCCAGCTCCTCCTTCTCGTCATCGTCGTCGTCGTCGCGTCGTCCTCCTCCTCCACCTCCTCCTCCTCCTCCTCCTCCTCCTCCTCCTCCTCCTCCTCCTCCTCTTCTCCTCGACAGTTGCATCAGCGCATTGTCCGCGGAGCTTCTCTCAGGTGGCTTAACCTTGCATAGTGCACGGCCACATCAGGCCAGGATGGCGGTCAGAATGATGCAAGGTCAAGGTCCCCCTCTCCCCCCTCCTCCCCCTCCTCCCATCCTCCTCGCCGTGTGAGTCAGGCGAGCGGGCCGTGAGGGAGCGGGTCCTGGTGGTCTGTCGCCGTTTTTTCGGGCTCCCAAGTAAGAGACTACTCGGGAAGGAGATCTGGTCCATGGGGAAGGCCGCGGGGTCCAGGACCCGTTCCCCTCAGGAACCGTTCCCTTCCTGCCAATCCTCCTCCCCATGTGGCAGAGGTTTCGCGGCCCCGGCCCCAGCCACACGACCCTTCCAGGTTGACCCGCGGACGGTTTTGTGGGTTTGATTGCGGTGCTGTGCTCCCACTGGGGGCGTTCGCTCCCCTCCTCTCCCCTCCGCTTATCAGCACTCCTCCCCTCTTTGAGAAACCGCTGACCTCCTTTCTGGAGCTAATCAAGCGGCGTAGCATCTGGAAGCCCTTCTCCCTCATCTATCCCCTCCTCCGTTCTGGGCATCTTTGAGAGCCCACAGAAGCGCAGAGGGAACCGCCAGACATCTCTGGACAGCTTCCGAGGAAAGCCATCATGAAACCTCCTCCCCCCTCTCCCTTCCTACTCTCCGCTTCCCCCGTCCCTCGGTTCCCCCCCCGCACGCGTGTAATTACTCGAACGCTGCACCCGCGCCCTCGAGGCTCTATAGTATTATTCATGAGCCATACCATTTCTGTCGCGTCCCAGGCGCCACTTGACGACCAACGTGCTTTCGGCAGTTCTGCTTAAGCACCGCTACCCATGTGGCTTGATATGTACACCGCCTCTAAGAATCGATCCCTCACGTATGCACCCTGCTGTTGCCGAGACCTGGACGCATGTCCGTCGAATGATCGGCGGGGGCACGCACGCAATACCAAGCAGCTACGACCCTCGGGCCCGCGTCAGCGTGGCCGCCAACCGTCGAGAACCGCGAAGACGAGGCAGCAGAAGACTTGCAGACGCCCCCTTCTTCCCAGCGCAGGACCGCTGGATCATCGACCTCGAGGCTGGCTTCTCCGGGGGCGACATCGCCAACGCCTACGCCGACGCCAAGGGCGCCGACCACCCCGGCAACAGCGAGCTGGTCTGGCACGTCTGGGAGACGAGCCAGGGCAGGCCCGCTCTCGCATGTGTGGGGGGGGGAGGGCATGCCCGCCGTCCCTCCGCGAGCCTCTTCCTGCTCCTCCTCCTCCCCCGACCTCCTCCCCGACCTCCTCGGCCCTCCTCCTCCTCGGTCCTTCTCCTCCTCGACCCTCCTCCTCCGCGATCCTCCTCGATCCTTCCCCTACTCCTCGATCCTTCTCCTCCTCCTCTTCTTCCTCCTCCTCGATCTTCCTCTTTCTCCCTATTGTTTTTTCGTACCCCCCCCACGCGCGACGAGTGGTCTTCCAGAACCTGTGGCCTCCGGAAAGGGCACGGGGTCCATCAGGAGACGGCCCATCAGAGACTCCGCCCCCATAGTGGGGCTGGGATCTCCAGGGGGCCCACGCCACCACACAGATCATGAAGTCGAATGTCCGGGAGCCGTGCCTTCTTCTTCTTCTTCTTCTTCCTATTATTTCTTCGTATCTTTCTTCTCATCCATATTATGATTGTTCTACTGTCTTCGTCTTCTTGTTATTGTTGCTGCTGTTATCGTTGTTGTTGTTGTCGTTGCCGTTGTTATTGTTGTTGCTGTTGTTATCGTTGTTGTTGTTGGTGTTGTTTTGTTATTGTTATGTTTTATAACTATTATTGTTGTAATTGTTGATGTTGTTCTTGTTGTTCTAGTTGTTGTTGCTGTTGTTGTTGTTGTTGCTGTTGCTATTGTTGTTGCTGCTGCTGCTGCTGTTACTCGTCTTCCTCTTATTCGTCTTATTCATCCTCTTCTCTCTCGTACGTTTCCGGCAGTTTTTTCGTTCCCCACCCCCCTGAGTGAGTTGAACCCTCGTTTTGAATCCGCAGCGCGTGCATCTCCTTCTTCTGCTCCTCCTTTTCTTTCTCTTCTTCTCCTCCTCCTCCCTCCTGCCCCGCTCTCCGCGTGCCCATTTGGGCACACGCCTTGAACGGTTCGTGGCTCCACAGGGAGCCCCACCAACGGTATCAGAGGCAGCCCACCGCGTGGCGGCGCCGCCTCAGCGTCGGCACAAGTCTCACACGTTTCGTAGCCCCCAGGGAGCTCCACCGAAGACCCCAGTGGCACGCGCCTGCATGTTTGCGCCGCCTCCATTATTTTTTGGGTACTTTTGAACATTTTCGTTTTTTTTTTTCCTTCAAATTTCACCTGTAGGGAGACATGCCCGACCCAATCTTAGACGCCCCCGAAGCCTGGCGAGAGCTGGATTCGAGGGAAGAACACGCTGCCCATCACCACCAGTCTGTCGCGGGATTTCGTCGACGCCGATCTTGGTCATGGTCCATGCAGGCCGTCGCCGCTTCGCGAGGACGATCCACGAATTGGCGCTGACCAGGATGGACGCTGATCAAGGTTGACGCTGACCGAGATTGACGATCGGCACGACGTTGTCGCGTTCAGTCTTTTTTATGGTCCCCGTTCTTCTCCCCTCCATGGATTCGGCGGCGAACCCAGGGGGAAAATGAGAAGGGGCGGGCCTTCTCAGAAGGCTCGGAAGTCCTCTGGCCTTCCGAGAAGTTTTCAGAGTCCTTCCCGAAAATGCAGAAGTCCCGCTGCCCTCTGACTTCTCACTCTCACTCCCCCCAGGAGGGAAAACACACAGGCACGAACGGTTGCCGATCTCTAGGAAAAGATGGGAAGACGTCAACCCAGAAAATACGAAGGATATTGGACAGGCTGGGCTTTGTGCCTATTTTTCTTTGTGTGCCCCTGGGCCTTTTTATTCCCCCCTCCCCCTCGGGCGCGCCCGCCGCCGACGGATGCGCACGTGGGCGCGCGCCTCTCTGGCGCCCCGCCGTCGTTGGACAGCCCTGGGGTTAAGTCGGGCCTGTCCCTCTACAGGAGGGACTTTCGAAAATGGTTAAACATTGTCTGGGGACGATTTGTTAATACACACACATATATATCTATCGGAGGTTGGGGGGTGAGATCACAGTGCAACGGAGTCCCCCCACTGGGAAATCGAGTTTCGAGTTCGTGCTCGTGCCGTGCGTGCGGGCGAGGCGAAGCTGCGTGGGCCAGCGAGAGGAATTCACTCTGCTGTCGCTAGGGGTCCGCCAACACAAATGTTTCCCCCCCCGGCCTTGTCAAGCGGTAGCCCACGTTGTCCCGTCGGTTGCCCGTCGGTTGTCCCGTCGGTAGCCCACGTTGTCCCGTCGGTTGCCCGTCGCTTGGGCGACACAAGTCGCCCAAGCGAAGGAACAAAAAACAAAAAAAAATCCGCCACGTCATCCACACCATCATCGCCCATCAGCACCCCGTTCATCACAGTTGTCGTCATGAGCCACCCCCCTCCCCCCACCCCCCACAACCTCCTTATCACCCGCAGGGTGGTCGTATAGGTATTTATATGTCTCTCTCTCTATATATATACAAAGTTTTTTTTTGGGGGGGGGCAATTTTGGAGCATTTTTTGGCTATTTCTATTTTTTCGCCCCAGATTTCCCGACCTAAACGCGGGCGCGCGCTTCGCCTGCGCCCCGCCGTCGCTGGGCAGCCCTGGGGCCCAGAGCCAGGCCCGGGAGCCCCGGCACGGGGCGACGAACTTTGCACACACATCCCCTGCGCCCTGGCCGAGCCCATACCGAGCCCTGCAGCGGTGTACATGCCGTGCCGAGTCGCGCGCCTCCTCCTCCTCCTCCTCCTCTCCTCCTCCTCCTCCTCCTCCCTCAAGTCCTCCTCCTCCTCCTCCTCCTCCTCCTCCTCCTCCTCCTCCAAGTCCTCCTCCTCCTCCTCCTCCTCCTCCTCCTCCTCCTCCTCCTCCTGCGGTGTACATGCCACGCCCTCCTGGCCTGGCCGGGACCGAGGTGGGGCCGAGTCGCGCGTCGTGCAGGGCCAGGACCTCGCCACCCACCAAACAGCCCCAACCCAACCCGAAGGCCTCGATGTGCCCTCCATTTCCGGTGGGGGGGGGGGGCAGGGGCGGAAAAAACACACACGGGGCCCGTACCCCCCACAACCCGAAATTCGGGTTCGGCTTGGGTTGGGGTGGCCTGGTAGGTAATCAGGGCCGAGATTGAGCCGAGTCGCGCGTCCTAGGGCCAGAGCCGCGCCGAGTCGCGCGCCTCCTCCTCCTCCTCCTCCTCCTCCTCCTTCTCCTCCTCCTCCTCCTCCTCTTCCTCCTCCGCCTCCTCCTCCTCCGCCTCCTCCTCCTCCTCCTCCTCTTCCTTCTCCGCCTCCTCCTCCTCCGCTCCTCCTCCTCCGCCTCCTCCTCCTCCGCCGTCCTCCTCTTCCGCCTCCTCCTCCTCCTCCTCCTCCCTCCTCCTTTCCTTCCTGCCCTCCTCCTCCTCCTCCTCCTCCTCCTCCTCCTCCTCCTCCTCCTCCTCCAGTCGCGCGTCCTGCAGGGCCCGAGCCGCGCCGAGTCGCGCGGCTCTGGGCGCACGGCGCGCCGGCCCCGCGCAGGCCAGCGCGCGCCCGCCCGCCTTCGTCGGCCGGCCTTGCGCCGGGCCCCGCGCACGCTGTGGAGGGAGCGCTGCGGGGGAGCGCGCCGCTCTCCCACCCTCAAGGCGGGCCTGTCCCTCTACAGGAGGGATTTTCGAGAATGGCAGAAGAATGGCAATGGATTTTGACTACTTCTGGCCATTTTAGATAGTCTGGGGGCGTTTTTTTCGACTAATTTGGGCCATTTTGGAATATTTTTGGGGTATTTTTAATTTTTCGTCCAAAATCTTCCTGTAGGGGGACCTGCCCGACCTAATCCTAGCCAGGCCCGGGGCCCCGAGGCCCTCGCGCTATCCCCGCCGCCGCCCCTCGGCGAGCAGCGCCGGCGCGCCGAGAGCTGCGGGGCCCACGCGCGCGCGCGTCGGACGGGGCCAGGGCGAGGACAGGTCCGTTCCAGAGCGCTCCTCCTCCTCCTCCTCCTCCTCCTCCTCTTTTTCCTCCTCCTCCTCCTTTTCCTCCTCCTCCTCCTCCTTCTCCTCCTCCTCCTCCTCCTCTTCCTCCTCCTACTCCCCCTCCTCCTCTCCTCCTCCTCCTCCTCCTCCTCCTCCTCCTCCTCCTCCTCCTCCTCCTCCTCCTTCTCCTCCTCCTCCTCCTCCTCGTCCTCCTTCTCCTCCTCCTCCTCCTTCTCCTCCTCCGCCTCCTCCTCCATTCCTGTTCCTTATGAATAATTTCTCCCTGTGTCACCCCAGGGCCCAGTTTTTAGGGCGGGCCGGGCTTTTCGCCTGAGACTTCGTCACCATTCATGATCCTGTAGCTTCAAAGTTGGTAACAGATTCACAGATGGAGGGTGGGCCGTTTTCAATATGTGGCTCTAGTTTTAGCACCGCGCACATTCGTTTTAAACATGTGCAAGAGTTTCACCGATTGAGGGGAGCCCTTTTTCAAACTGTGGTTATCGCTTTATCGCCGCGCACATTCTTCAAAACAAATTGCAAGAGTTTCATGGATTGAGGGCGGTTCCTTTTCAAAATATGGATCCCGCTTTAGCGCCGCGTGCGTTCGTGGATACATTGTGCAAGAGTTTCACGGATTCCTATGATCAAAGTACAAGAAATGCTGTTTTGGAAGGATTCAGGATTATGTGATGCAGCAGTTTGGTTCGTTCGCGATGCTGAAGTCCCAAGAATGGCGTTCTGGCGCGATTCAGGATCGTCAAAATGCAACAATCAGGTTGATCCGTGGGGTTGGAATCCCGAGAACAGTGTTTTGGCATGCTTCAGGGTCTTCAAGCGGTTGTCTTCCAACGAGGGAGTTCCCTCAACGGAAATGGACCGTTGTAGGGGCCTATGAAGAGGGAGCTTTGCGGAAGGGTTTATTCCAGTACTTGTATGACTCTTGGGTTTACACTGGTCCTCCTTCTCCTCCTCCTCTTCCGTCTCCTCCTCCTTCTCCTCCTCCTCCTTTCGGACTGTGACGAGGACAAATCCGTTCCAGGGCGTTCCGTAACGCTCTCAGGGGATTCTGGAACGCTCAGAGAAAGCCGCGGCGTTCGAGACATCCTCCAGAGCCGCCGGATCTCAGAGATGTTTGATCCATCCCCACCCGAGTTTATCCTCGTCCTGGCTTCATCTTAGTTTGCATCCCGCGCTCTGCTCCCACATGTCCACATGTGAATTCGGCTATGTGCGGGCGTGGGTTTACAGCGCCCGCCGTCGCGTGTGGGCCCTCCCGCTGGTGTGCCAGTTTGGCGCCACTGCCCGCTGCTCGCCGCCACTGCCCGCTGCCCGCTGCGCCTCGCCGCTGCCCCGTGAGGGGCTGGCGGCTCCCCCTTTTCACCTTCTGGCCCCCAGGGCGTCCTTGGGTGCCTCACTTAGCCTTCAGTCGGGCGTGTCCCATTACAGGGGGAATATTCAAAAATAGTTGAACAATAGTCTGGGGACTATTTCTTCGTTCTCCAAGTAGGCTTGCCCTGGTTCAAGCCCTACTAATTGGTCTGTTGCCCCTCCGCCCCCCGTAATTCCTACGCCCCCCAACAAATCCTATGGCTATGCCTATGCCTATGCCTCCTCCCTAACTCCTAACTCCTATGCCTATGCCTATGCCTATGCCTATGCCTATGCCTATGCCTATGCCTATGCCTATGCCTATGCCTATGCCTATGCCTATGCCTATGTCTATGCCTATGCCTATGCCTAATGCCTATGTCTATGCCTATGCCTATGCCTATGCCTATGCCTGCTTGCTTGCTTGCCTGCTTGCGCGCTTGCTTGCACGCTTTCTTGCTTGTTTGCTTGCTTGCGCGCTTGCTTGCACGCTTGCTTGCTTGCCGAGTTGTGGATTACAAGCACGCTTGATATCTGTGATTCCTTGATCTGAGTCGTCTAATTTATTTGGAGTCAACGCTGGCTGATATTATTTTTGACTAATTTGAAGTATTAATTGAGTATTTTTATTTCTTTCGCTCAAAATTCGCCTATAGGGGGACACGCCCGACCTAAGGCTGGCGACTTCCCCTTTTCACCTTCTGGCCCCCAGGGCGTCCTTGGGTGCTTCACTTAGCCTTAAGTTGGGCTTGTCCCTCTACAGGAGGAATATTAAAAAATGTTCCAAACATAGTCAGTGGACTTTTTTAATACTATTGTGAATTATTTGTTGAGTATTTATTCGCTCAAAATTCGACCTTTCACCTTCTGGCCCCCAGGGCGTCCTTGGGTGCCTCACTTAGCCTTAAGTCGGGCGTGTCCCTCTACAGGAGGAATGTGCAAAAATAGTCAAACAATAGTCTGGGGACTTTTAAACAACTATTTTGAAATATTTTGCTGAGTATGTTTTTTTCGCTCAACAGTCGCCTGTAGGGGGACACGCCCGACCTAAGGCTGGCGACTCCTTCTTGTCACCTTCTGGCCCCCAGGGCGTCTCTGGGTGCTCACTTAGCCCGGCGTTATCTTGGACGCACTGGATCATCGTGCGAGCGGCTTCTCCGGCCACGCAAGCGTGCGCCCGAGAAGTGTGTGTGTTTCCAGCTGCCTGGTGCCCGCTGGAACTTTCGAGCTCTACGAGCCGGCACGAGGGTGAAGAGCGGCCCTCTCATTGGATGGGTTGCCCTGGTGTTCCTCGTGCCCGGGCTCTCCATCTTGGAAAGCTCCTCGCTGGGGATCTCTCCATGGAGCCGTGGGCCTTCGGCGGAGGGGCTCGTGCTCTCTCGGCGCGCGCGCTCGCGGCCATGATATCGGCTGCAGTGGACCTGGGGCAGCATCCTCAGGCGAGGGCTCGGACCCGAAGGAGAGCCGCCCTCCACCCCCGGAACTGCCGCGCGGTCCGAGCTGCGGGGGCGCGCCACGGTGCCGCAGTCTTTTTGGGCGCGAGCCGCCCTCCACCCCCGGAGCTGCTGTGCGGTCCGAGCTGCGGGGGCGCGCCACGGTGCCGCCGTCTTTTCGACACGAGCCGCCCTCCACCCCCGGAGCTGCCGCGTGGCCCGCGCTGCGGGGGCGCGCCGCGGTGCCGCGGTCTTTTTGGGCGCGAGCCGCCCGCGGCCCGTGCGGGCGCTGGAGCTCTCGAAGGCTCTCCCTGGTCGTGGTCGTGGGCGCGCGATCTGCGGAGCGTGTGCCGCCCTGCGTCCGTGGAGCTGCTGCGCAGGCTCTCGCACGTGCGACAGCCTCACGGGCAGTCGAAGAATTGGACGTGCCATTGGGGTCGAAAGATTGGATGTGTTTCACGTGTATGTCACATTGAAACATTGGGGTCGAAAGATTGGTAGTCACATTTTCACATGCATTGGGGTCGGAACATTGGACGTCGTCCCAGGCGAGGGCCGCATTTGGAAGTGGACCGCCCTTCCATCTGTGGAGTAGCTGGATGCGTTCGGGAAAAATTGGGCGTAGTCCCAGGTGAGAGCCGCGTTTGAAAATAGACCGCCCCTCCATCTGTGTAGTAGCTGGATGCGTTCGGGAAAAATTGGACGTAGTCCCAGGTGAGAGCCGCATTTGA